TGGAATAAATTGGAATTCCTAGGAATTCCTAGGAATTCCTAGGAATTCCCAGAACTCTGGGAATTCATTTCGCAAGGGCATAAACATCCCATGTAGGAATACTCAAAACGCCGCGCGTAAATATCACTCGCTTTTAAAGATTACACATAACAAAATCATACACAGTTTAATGAATAAAGGGAAATAAAACCTAAACATAACAATTTCTCTATCATGTTGAGGCGTAAATGGTAACTCTATTAATCGCACTGCAAATTTGGTGCCTGTCAAAAGTGAGAACCCGTCCGGCTGGCCGAAAAGTGATTTTGGGAATTTTTTTTTATCGTTTTCATTAAAAGCCCATAATTATTACCCCGCATATCACATAGGACCAGATTTTTCTAACAGAAAACGTTTTATAATTCAATGCTATAATTTGTTGTGCAAAGGAAGCGCGTGCTTTGATCGTCGTGGATATTGAATGAGTGCAAATTCTCTTGCAAAATCGTGAAAAACTGCAGAATTATAGGTTTAAATAGGGCAAAAAAGAACAAATTCTTTCCGAGGTCTGTGTACTTTTTACCTGAGACGTGATGAGAAAAAGTATGTTTAAAAGGCTGGTTTACACGCCACCAGATTCGTCGCCAAGATTTACTAGTAAACTAAACTTGTCGAACACAAAAAATCCGGCCTGATTTTTATTTTGGCCTCTTTTTTAGACAGAGGAATGCAACGTGTAAATTGGCTGGCACCAAGGACTATCGTGGCGCATGTGTTTCTTAAAATTATATTTCGGGGTTGTCCAATTATCCATAGTCTCTCTAACGGAGCAATGTTGGAGAGACTGATGAATGCCACATTATGATGCTACAGCTAATGCAAATACAATACACGAATAGGTCTATTTGTTTTCCAGGTCTGATCTACTGTGATCGAACATGATTGCTATTTTTCGATGTACAAATAACTTGATGTAAAATTTGTTTCACTCTTGGACGGTCAAATTCTGATTTTTCTCTAAAATCACTCAGCCTTTGCCTCAAAAGTCAAATGAATGTGCCCTGATCTGTGGATTACAAGTTTATTGTTTGATTTAAATTATGAATTTATTAACGGGAGCTTCGCTTTAAGCCCTGGCTAAATCTATATATTAATTTAGTTTCTTTCCTTTACAAACTTATTTTTTTTCTATATATATATATCTTATTTTCAGCCCGCTGTGAAAGTAAGAAATAGTTTTAAATAGTTAAAAGAACACGTATCTGTAATTATTATTATTATTTTTTGTAAATAAATAAATGAATAAATAAATAAGTAAAAAACATTTAGGAAAAAAAAGAAAGTTTTCTTTTCTTGTCTGAGGTCCTAAGTAAGTATAAATGCAACAATGCCTTGTCATTGTTGTCATTTCTACTTAAGCTCTTTAAATGAGTCTCCACGACGAAAAACATGTGCAACGCAGCGTCACGGTTCGGCGATCTGATTGAGTACCTTATCCATACAAGTGGACGCATGGATGCATGGTAACTCAGCCGGCAAACGCCATTTCTAAAGTAGCTCTCTGCGCATGGCCAGATGGAAAAAACCGCTGAAAAAGTTAAAATTCCACTAAACTTCGTTCCATGAGAGCTTGCGTGCAGACGTCTCCTATTTCCTTTGCTGCGTCCAACAGACTTGTTCATTCAGTGAAAATACACTTTTTTTTTTATAAGAATATATTTTATAAGAATATCGAGGCTGAAATTTGCGAAATTTTAAGAATATTTTAAGAATAAAGCCGAGGCTAAGATTTTGAAAAGGATAGATATAATTTTGTGTGTTGAAACATCTGTAAATACAGTACAATTTTATGTTTTTAACTTAACCGTATAAAATTATTCCTTTCTCTGAACGGCGAAACTAGCCAACAAAATGAAAAAACCTGCACTAGCTATAACAAAATTGACAGTTCGATGAACGGTACATGTAATACATATGTACAGTATTCAGCACAAAAGACATAAACTAAACCGCAAAAAAGTATTATGACAAATTCTTTCATTTTTAAATAACAAAACCTAGCGAAAACAAAAACAGCACTAGGCTTTATTTAAGAATAATACAAGAATATTTTCAGCCTAAAATCGGCAGAAAAATAAGAATATTCAGCCTGGGCCGGAAAAACAACATTCTTATAAAAAAAAAAAAGAGTGTAGCAAAAACATTGAACGGTTCCGTGTGAACGAATGTCTGCACAGTCAGATTTTTCAGCCGGTCGAAAATTCGATCGTCACAGTAGACTCCGGTATCATGTGAACATCAATCATTTTGCGAAAAGGAAGGGTAGTCTCGCTAACCCAAACCAAAATCAATTTTCGCTGGATTTCCTTTCTACTAAAAATTGACAGTAATTTTACCCCCGGTAACTCGAACCTCGCGCTAACTTTAACCAAAATCAATTTTCTCTGGATTTCCTTCATACATTTAAAGTGATTTTACCGTCGGTAACTCGAACCTCCACCTAACTCGAAGTAATTTTTGTTTCCCGTCAGATCTTTTCTATACAATTTTACCCTTGATAACTCGAACCATGTTTTAAGAGCGTGACAAGTCGAACAAAAAGCAGTGACACCAGGCTGCGGTCCAAACCACTAAATTTATTTCAAAAAAACTGTGTATCCTTCGCCTTTACATTTTCGGCAGTCCATTTCAAATACAATGTTTAGCACTTGTACTGATTTATCAAGCTTTGTTGCTTAATTCCTTCAATTTTTCAAAATATCAATCTATATCTCCTGCTGCCTTTGAAGTGAAGTGTACATGATACATGAATTCAGCTGTGAATTCCTTCCCAATACTTTGCTTATTTCCTTATTTCCGGTTATTTTCTGCTTCGAACTTCCGATAACTCGAACTCCTGATAATTAACTCGAGCTTTTTTCGATTTCCCTCGAAGGTTCGAGTTATCGGGAGTCGACTGTACTTTAAGTGGTCTTAAGAGTCCTGGCGGAACTTATTACAGGCCGAATATAAGAAACTATTGCCAGTCTACAGAGAATGGTCAGTAACTAAACACACTGTCGTGTGTAAGTGTGTGATTGGAACAAACAATGTCAATTCCTGTGTGACCTTGTCCAAAACTCGTTGCCGTGGCCTCCTTTTCCCTCCTCTCTCGCCCCAGGGGCCCGATTCTCGAAAGTCTCGGAAAATTTGCGGTCCCGAATCAAATGTTTAAATCAAAATCTATAGTCCACAACAACCACCTTCACGAGTGGAATGGAGTAAAGAAGGGGATAACGCAGGGTACTGTGAGCTGTCCCTACTTATTTAACGTGTTTCTGAATGATCTTGAAATCAAGCTAAGTTCCACTCACGCTCTTTTTAAATACGCAGATGACTCAACCATTGTCGCACCATTGTGGAAAGGAGGCAGTGATACGTCTAGTGATTTAGTGGAGGCGTTTTTAACCTGAGCGAACTGTAATTCGATGAGCTGTAACCCTAACAAGTGTAAAGAACTTGTCATAAAGAAGAAAGGGAACTCCACATTCTATCCTGTTGTACGTAATATACCACAACATGCCACTCTTGATTTATTAGGTTTGACCTTTCAGAATGACTGCAAATCTTCTGCACACATAAAAGCTAAACTGCGCAAAGCCAACAAATGTGTACACGTGCTGAGAGCATGTAGAACAGAGCGCTACAGCCAGACAGAAATTGATTATCTCTTCTATAGTATCGTTCTCCCTAACATAACCTACGGACTATCTGTTTTTAGTAAAATCCAACTAGTGGTCTATTATCAATGCTGCGTTCTGATTGGTTGAGCTACTACTAGGCTATATGTTATAGCCCACTAGTAGCGAAAAGCGCGGACTTTTTGGCGGCAAAAAAGGATTAAAGTCCAGCTTTAACTAGCTAAAATTTTTTTATTCTCGATATTTTTGACCAACTAGTTGGATTTTACTAAAACAATTATTCCTCTCGCCCTCATGGCCTCTGAGTCAATAGCCCATGAGGCCGAAGGCCGAATGGGCTATTGACTCAGAGCCCTTTCAAGCTCGAGGAATAATTGTTAAATGGTGCCTCCGTTGCGGAAGTTACGCTTTATGTCTACACATTTAAATATTAGATCATTACTGCAAAAACAAGATAAAGCGATTTTTCAAAAAGCTAAACAGCATGATAACCAAGTAATCCGAGTTTGACGTCATTGTGGTTCTACTGTTACTGCAAAGAAGATCATCAGAGGTTACGACACAACTTATGCATTTGCAAAAAGAAAGCCCCCAAAAAACAGACTTGCTGGAATTCATATCCTGGCCCCTGAAATAAAGGGTTTCTTAATAACTGCTTACTATAAGTTGTGACCATCTTTGCATTTAGTTTATTACTAATCCTTTCATACCATGGATACTTCATAAAACTATTGAATTTGTCTTCAAAGAATTCTACGAACACCAACAGAGAAGAATTGGCCAGGAGTGTCTCATCTTCAAGATTATAAAACAAGCTTTCCAAAATGGAGTGGAGAAGGACTTAAGAAAGCAGTTCCTCAGCTGGATGAAAATGGACTTGATTTGTTAGAGGTAGATGAAAGATGTTTGAAACTTTATATTATAATTTCCCAAACATGAACTTCAAACTGTGATCACGTTAGGTTTGCCATTAAAATCTAAAATATGTAATAAAATAAGGCATTGATAGATGGCTGTGAGAGGCATTGTAGGTGGCAATAGACCTCGTTGAATGCGGCGTTTATTCGAGGCGGTCAACTTGGTAATTTACAACATCCAGACATTTATGATTCAATCTCAGCAAAATGAACCTTTAAATTACATAATATTTTCAAACGATTTACACTGTAACTGTTGTCAGTGATTTTAAAATTAAACTCCGCCCTTGAATAAACTCCGTGTTGTTTAACAGAATAACTATGGTATTTATTTAATACATATGCTTTTCTGTTTTATTAGTTTTCTATTTTACCTGTTATGAATATTCTTTGAAAATCCAAATTGTCCTGTGGTTTTTTTTGTAGCACTAACCCTGACCGGCCTGGTGATTTTAAAGAATCATTTGATGTTGGAGCTGTCTATGATGAAAATTTTGTAAGTTAGTGGCAGTTGGTATGCTAGAACAGAATAAAATTGAAAAACAAGTTAATCAGGTTTTCTTTAAGCTCACTTATTTATATTATTATACATTGTACTCACTACCTGTCTTCTCATTGGCTTAGAGAGCCTACAGCTAATTTTGGAAATCAGTCATACCTACAGATTAGTTAGTTATCTGCTAGCAGATAACTGACTAATCTGACTAAAACTGTGAAAGGTTTGAACCCAGGAGTCATTTCAAAAGTAGGTTGAGTTTGATTGTCCGGGTGAACGTAGTCCTGAATAGGACTGTTGTTGTTGACAGTGACTTTTTGACAAAGGTTGCAACACCTGAAATCTACCTAACAGATCTAACAAATTCAAGTGTGTGTATGGGACCAAAGACCTCTTTCATAATGGTGGCCTATTAATATATCCTTTCATATGATGATAATTAGCCTTCCCTTCAGATGATTTTCCATATAATTTTACCCTCAATAACTCAAAGTTTTTTCTATTTCCCTTGAAGGTTCGAATTATCGGGAGTCAACTGTAATTATTACTGGACATGATTAATTTTATTGTTAATATTATTTATTAATTGATTAATACCTCTTTGTTACAGAACTGGCCTAATACTGATGTGCCAAACTTTCAAGCCAATGTGATGTCTATTTATAAATGTTTATCAAACCTTGCTCTAAGGGTGCTGTCTGTGATGGCTGTTGGCCTTGGATTGGTAAGAAAAACAAAGAATAACAAAAGCTTTCACATTTTTTCTTACCTCTGTGTTTTTCTCTTGCAACTAATCATCGCTTGAAAGCTCACTTTGTTGAAAATGGCTTTGTACGTTTATCAAAGTATTTTCATCAGCAATTCTTGTATAGGCCACAATGTGATTGAAAGAGACAACATATTTGTTCCCTCTTACTGTGTGAGTCATCTATGCAGCAATTTTGCTGGCTTGTCCCTCTCTCTGAACTCACCTCACAAACAAAACCCATCACAGCATGGATTTCTACATTACAGAGTGACCCCCATATAAACATTATCTAAGCTATGCCCTTGTCATTCATTAATGCAAGTATACATATGTGACTACTGTATTTTCTTGAACTTATAAGCGTGAGAAAAAAACAGCTGACATTTTCCAACACCACCAACTGTTTTCCTTGTGAAATGACGGCCGAGGGACAGTCACAGAAATTCTATACTGATGACATGTCTCAGCTACTCAGATCTGGGTAGTGTTTCTGACTGGTTGAAGCAAAATGTCAGCTGTTTTTTCAGGCTATAGATGTAAAAGCCACCCTTCAAAAATGTGGTTTTCACAAACAGTAAATGAACATGGAATGATGAAAAAGTGATTGATTTTCCTGTTTTTAAAACAGAACCCAGATGCATTTGCTTATGCCTATGAAAAGAGGGGAACATTGTTAGGAGGGACTCAGTTAAGGTATAATTTCTACCCCATGATAACAAATATTACCAAAGTCAAGCCAGGTCAGATTCGCTGTGGGGAACACACGGATTATGGTGGGATTACACTACTGATTCAAGATGAAGTTGGTGGACTGGAGGTTAGAATGTTACAATGCTTTTAACCCTTAGCCTTTTCCAGGCGTTCAGATTGTGGGGTGAGGCGCAAAGTCAGAGAGAGCGGGACAAAAAACAAGGAGGACATCTCCTTCCCCACCCCAATCTCTTGCTATTTTTCTCTCCTCACATCTCTTGGTGCCGTCCCCACGATCTGAACACCTGGAACAGGCTGTTTTAACCTTTGTTTAAGCGTAAAAAATGTCTTACAGCAAAGAGCCCAAAAGTGTCACCACTTTTGATTTATTCGAATTCTTTCCTGCAGATTTAATCCAATCAGAAGCCAGCTGGAAACTGTCCTCGCCCTTTGATTGGTTAATGTCTGCGTGAAAGAATGTTAGTTAATTCAAGGAGGTCAGAGTTTTGGGCTCCTTGCTGTAAGACCTTTTCTATGAACAAACTTTAACTTTTTTTTATGAAACTTCAGTTTTGGGGAAAATTTATACCACTCAAGTTATTGACACTACAGTAACTATATAAAGTGACGCTCAATTGTGTGGTTTTTTTCCCAAAAAAACCATAGAGGATTAAAATAATTGAAATTAAGTCAGTTTAATCTTTCCTACCTGACGATCTTGTTGCTTTAACAGTTTGTATCAAGAAGCTGTTAACGTATTGTTTAAGTGGCTTGTATTGACATTGTTTTCTAACTGAAAAATAACATGTACCAAGGAAGGTTGTACATCTTCCTCTAACTTACTAGAAAGCCGAGAGGCCAGTTTTCTTAAGAAGACATTTTGGTTTAATTTAGGTTACTAATATTGAAGGACAGTTTGTGCCTGCCAGACCTATGAAAGGAACAGTACTGGTGAATGTTGCAGATTTGATGGAGAGATGGACTGCAGATAAACTCAAATCAACGGTAGGTCATTTGAACTGCTCCTCAAGCACATCATTTTGTTCGTTCCTTTGCGTATGAGGGTGAAAACGGGCAAAAGAGTATGGAGCAGCTCGTTAATATTAAATACATTTTCTTTTATCCCCAGAATTACGAGTTTCTTTTTGTTCAAAAAGTCATGGCGCTCGAAACAAGTTGTTTTTACAAATGGCGCCGACAGGTCCGCATTTTCTGTCTCCAGACTCTTAAAAGACTTTTGAAGTTACCTGTCAATGAATACTGGATTTAGCGTTAAACTATGAACATTGAATATGACGGTCGACCTAAGCTTTGAAGTTCTTTGCTTATTGTGCAAATTTATCTCGTTTTACCCTAGTCAAGGCTTGAACAAGCTCTAAGGGCTCCTAGGACGTAAATGTACATTATCTTTCCTTATTTTATTCACTCGCTTTGTTTGAGGTCTGGACAATGTATTGTGACTAATTGTAGCATTCTACAACTTCACATAATAAAAGCTTGTTTCTTGTAGCACAAATACGTAAGAACAATACTGACCGAGGAAATACCTGATTTCTACTGAGTATAATTTTAAAAGCATGTTTGCAGTGACAGTTGCGATTACGTCGAGACTTTCCCGTGGAATAAGGCCGTTCACTCTAGAAAAAATTAAACTGGGTCAGTAACCACTTTTTTTCGAGATAAGCTAATGGCCTTACCCTGGCAAACAACAATGTGTGTCCTGAAATTTCTGCATCCAACAATCACTAATCAATAAATTCCTTGCGTAAAAGACTGCGAGCGGTGAGTCGCGCGGGAAACAAGTATATAGCCAAACTGGAACCAAAAAATCTTTGCAAGCGGTCAACATTGGCCGATTTTTGGTGCTCTTACGTCATAGATTTATTGTTGCCCACTCTGAGACTTTTGGCGGGAAACAGTTTTATTGTCAGACGTCAGATGACCTTGAAGTAAAAAATGAGGCAACGCATTATTGGGAAAAATGCCAGCAATCCCAGCTATGTAACATTAATGTTTCGAAACAGTTTTTTCAGGCAACATTGGCCTTACTAGTTACTCTTCATTATTTATACAGGTTCATCGTGTGCTTATACCGGAAGATGAAATCAGGCGACGTGTTCCACGACGCTCCTTAGTGTTTTTTGTTGATCCTGATCACGAGGCAGTTATTACCTGTCTGGACGGCTCTAATAAATATCCACCAATCACATCAAAGGATTGGATTAGCAAGAAACTTGAAGAAACATATAAATATTGATATGTGAATTATGGCATCTAACAAGTCGTCTATAACAGTAGTTAGTGTACACTACTTGTGATAAACCGTTGAACTGATATATCAGATTTGGACTAGAAGCCTTTCTACTATTATCAAAAGCTAGTAGACTAAGGACCAGGGAAATCTCGTTACCGTGGTATCTCTACTTCCTGTCCACTGGTGCGAAAGAGAGGCGGGAAGAAGAGAGGCCCTTTTAACGAGTTTGAGACAAGGGACAAGGGGACATTGTTTTTCCAAAAAGAAACATTAACATGAAAATGTGTTAGTTACTGACTGTTCTCTGTAGACTACACGTAGTCCCTTATTTTCGACGCATTTCAAAATTTTTTCGAGCGCCCGTCAAATTGCCTCACAAGAGGAGAAGCATTCAAGCATTCTAAAGGAATGTAAAATTAGTTATAAAATAACAAAGGCAAAAGCGACTTGAGTTTTCCTGTTTCTATTTTATTTTTTATTTTTTTAGGGGAAGGGGGGGGGGAGGGGTTTGACAAGCCCTCCTTCTTTAGGGAATAGGACGGGTTGTCCGTCCGAAACATCGGTAGTAGTCAAGTCGGTTTTGTCCTTGCTCTCTTATTGTTAATGTAAATTTGTCTTAGATTAGTTTAGATTAAACAGCAGGATTTGGATGTTGTCATCTTATACATGAAAACCTTCAACTTGCTGGTCGCCTTTGCCCTTCGTCGCCGGTGGCGATTTGCGCGCGCTAGCGTATTTCCCCCGATCTACTAACCCTGAAGGAATACAAGGGACTGCTGGTAGTCTATACCTTCTCTGAGCCTTGAAAGTCCATCTAATGGAAACTCCGCCATTTTGGATCACGCATGACGCCATATCGTCCGACTTAAAAACATTGGCGGGAGGATTACATTGGCTGAAAAACTTGGCATGGTTGATATTTTCCATAGACGAGACCAGAACGAAATCTCACGAGATGCAAAAAGGTGGATCGCAATGCTGTATTCTTACAATGCTTGAAGATAAATATGGACTCGGAAGAGTTAAAAACGGTCACCACTAAACACAATGTCATTTGTTATTAGAACAAAATAATCTTTTTGCCCAAGTAACCTTGTCCTTTAGTTTTCTCGTTCGCTTAATAGGAACAAATTTTGACTTTTGAGTGGGCAAAGTCGAGCCAAAATTAGGATTTATCGCTAATCCGTTAAAAATTAATAAAGAAATAAAACAGAAAATATGTAATGAATTGTTTTAGGTGTATTATGGTTGCGTACGTGGTAGTTGTTAAATGCAGACGCGCATACGTTTTTCTTGATTTTTTGAACCTTCTGCTTACA